CATTTATCTTTTTATCCTGCTCTCAAAAAGATTTTCATAATAATAATTTTCAACCATTCTACTTTATTTACTTTTTGCTTTTTGAGACAAGGTCTTGTTGTGTAGCTCAGGCTAACTTTTGAACTTACTATGCAGTGCAGGCTGGCCTGGACTTGTGGTGATTTTTCTACCTCAGAGTCCCAAGTGCTGAGACTACAGGCATGCGCCACCACATTCAGCTACTTTTGTTTTTGATACTGATTTCTGTTCTTATTTTTCTTTATGGCACCCTGTCTTTTATTTTATGAGTTTGATATTTTCTTGATTTTTGAGATGGCAGAAGACTGGCATAGTGAACTAATTTTAGCAGGAGAAGATGAACACATTCTCAAAGGCTAAAGATATCCAATTAGTAAAATACCAGAAATTCTATATTTTCACTTATATAAAAGCACCAATCTTAATAAATTAAACCCACCTGTTCACTAAAAGAATTTTATATGATCAAGTAGAGTTTATCTTGGAAATGCAAAGAAAGGGCTTTGATAATATATTTCTCTTCATTAGGTCATATGAGAAAATTGTATGATTTTAAAGAAATGCTAAAAATTTGTTGAAATTTCACACCCATTTCTGAAAATAACTGTCATAAATTAGAACTGAAAAAATTAAAGGAAACTTTTCCAGCACAATATATGCACATTTCATATTAATGACTAATACTAAAAATAATAGCTAAACAACACATCTCTATTAAAATGGAGGGCAGAAACTTCTGCATTAACCACTATATTATATACATAGCAAAATTCCAACCAATGGAGAGGCTGATTATGCGGTTTTATCTGAAGGACATAAAAGGTCTACTACCTCAAGACACTATTGTTTTCTCTCTCAAACTGGCAATCAGGTTGGCTTATAAAGCCTATAGCCTTCATTCATATCCTGAGATAAGAACCTCAAGACTTTTATTGAAAGTTGTGTATCAGATTAGCTAATGCCTCATCTAGCAAGCAAAGAGAATAGTGTAACATACTCCTTTCTAAAACCCAAATGACTTTGAAGGCTATGAGGTTTAAGGGTAAGACAGGAGTGTAAAATCAGGCTAAGGCCAAGAGAGCTGCTTGTTACACCAGGACACTAGTAAAGGGCCACTGAAGATTAAGGCAGAACACTGAAAGGATGATCCTTGTCATTTTTATGATTTTGAGTGGGGCTGGTCTGACTCTAAACGTAACTGTTACACATTTGCCACAATAGTAACTATATATTGTTGGGCACAGGCGCTCAACATACCATATCCCAGCCGGGACTAAGGATCACGCCAGCTTCCGCAATGCACTACATTCCTCTTTAAATTAGCCAACCCGTGCGCACCCCGCGCTCACTCGTACTCTGTGGCAACTCCTGATTGGCCACAGCTGGATATAGTAGCTAGAGTCTGCATCCCATTCCCGCCCTGCTTCCTTGTGGCAGCCTGTGATTGGTCACGGCCAAATATATAAACCAGAGCCTGCGTAAATAAACTAGCAGTTAACTGTCGTCCACAAAAGCGTCTCCTGTCTCCTGTTTCATTGGAGCTGCGCCGGTCATATATTGAGTTCACTAATAAACTATAAGGCTTATTTGCAGTTCAACAAGCCATCTATGTTTAAGCCATCTAAAACAACCACAACAATAGCATGTGAAGTTTCCTTGATTGTCCTCTGTCTCCACACTGCTTGTGTAGCAGTGTAAAACAAAACTGGGAGTTTTATTTTTTCTCTTCACTGGCATAGTGAGCAGCTCATTGAACTACACACCTCTTACCTTACTCTAGAACACTAAGCTAACTACAAAAGACTGTTTAAATCCAGTCACCTGACATTTATTTTGCTGCCTACCTAGAGGCCTTTTCTAAGCAAGCAGAAAATCTCCCATCAGTCCGTTATCACAAACAGAATGCAAGAGATTAGTGACAATGAAGAAAAGCAGAATCAGTTTACAACCTTTCGCCATGAGAATAATATTACTTCACCAGGAAGAAATCTGAGGCTCCCTGACTTTAATTTAGAAAACCTGCAGTTAATAATCACATTAAGGTTGGTTTTACATGCCAGACAGTTTTTGTTTCTTCTGTTGCTTTTATAATTTGAGTGTCTATTGTGGTTACTAAAGATATTTGTTGAAAGGCATATATTAACATTTAAAATATTTAATAAAAAATAGAATATTTAACCCATAAAACAGGCCTCATAGTTTCATTGGATCTGAGTTAACATACACAATGTGTCAATATATTTTAAAGTCAAAAAATTGCTTGTATTTATCCAGAGTAGAATTTGGCGATTTAACTACTAGTTACAACAATATACTTAATTCTTTTCTTAATTGAGGAATAAAATAGGGTTTTCCCTATAATCTGCCAAATCAAATAAAGAACCATAAGATCCTACCATTGCTTTCACCTCTTCCCTTCAAAAGGTGGTTTCAGGACAGAAAAAGAAACAGGCCTGAAGCTACAAATCTAGCCAGGGAACAGGGTCAAATGACAGCTGCAGAGCACAGGGCAAACTGGTCAGGTGATCAGGCAGGGACAAGAGGTAAGGACACAGAACTTGGCTTCTTTTTCATACTCAAATACTTAATGAAAACAAGTCTAATTAACACCACAAGCCAAAAAGAAGCACAAGTGATCTTTTAAAGTGTGATTAACTTTCACTGAACACTCTTTTGAAGGCACTGTACTTGCCCTCACTGAGCCCAGCTCAGCTGCTCCAGGGACTGCCAAGCCGGCCTGCATGTTGCTCCAGTGCAGCGGCCAAGTCTGCAGGATACCTGCTTGCTCTGAGACAGAAATATTCGCTCTGCCACGAGCTGTGCTGTTCCCACTTAGTGAAGTGAAATGCTGAGTGCGGCCACAGGGAGGACGCCACCAGAGGAAACGCACATCCGCACACAGGAGAGGAGTCACAAGCAGTTTCTGGTGCTGCCAAAGTTTACGTGTGTTATTTCCAAAGGACTTCTGATTCTATGAAAACAGGACTTCTGATTTTATGAAAACAGAACTAATATTTGGTGTACACACAAACACATAAAATCAGTCGCCTTAAGGAAGTCTACAGGAAAGAAAACACTCACATGAATTCACAAAAGTGTAAAAGATGCCTCTGCACCAACCCATGCTTGCAAATTGAGCATGGATATTCAAGATTGATGAGGCTATTGGTATCCATTCTTAGCATATCCATTCTTTTCATCTCTCTCAAAAATACAGAGAAAAATTTAATCAGATTTTAATGACAAATTAATTTAAAATACTATTACTATCTGCCATTAGCATTAACTACAGAGCTTCAAAGAAATATGTAAAAAGCTAAAAGTACTAGCAACTGGACTAAAGGTTCTGGCCCCTCTTGTATCAATGTTTTATAACTTTCTAGACATTATTTTAGTAATTTTGTTCATCACATTATGGGAAGCTGTACAATTAAAGTTCATAATACTTAAAATATCAATAATTCTGGAATGTCTTTAACGTAGTCAGATATTTACTGATAAGTCATCACTACCTTCATCTTTAATAAACAAGCTTCAATGAGAAAACAGTGCCCATCCCAGCAACAATCTTAGCAGAAGAAAAAATAACTTTTGGTTCTTCTGTCACTAAAGGTCTCCTCAGGAAAAAGCAAGAAAAATTGTTAGGAGACAGAACAGCTATTTCCCCCATGAATATGTTTTACTCTGAAGAGAAAAGAATGCAAAACATCTTACAAAGATGCAAATAGTAGTCTAAAAAGGGTGATTCCCCCCCCCCCAAAGACCTATACACCAGTAACAATGTTCATATACATAAAATTTAAAATTCTAAAAGCAGGTCCTATGCAAAGTGGGGAAGAAGAGAAGAATGAAAAAAAAAAAAAAAAAAGAAAAGTCTTGACAGTAATTTTAAGTTTGTTTTTAAATTAAAAAGTTGAAATTTACTATGAAAAGTGGCATGGTATTAAAGAAATTTTTGTAGGGATTTTTTTTTTTTTTTTGATAGCTGTGCTTAGCAATCATTTTGCTTTTTTTTTTTTTTTCTTGGTAGCAGCAATCGAACTCATGACCTTGTGCTTGCCAGGAAGGAGCTGAGCCTCTGAGCTATATCCTTGGTCCTTGCAGGTTTTTTTGTTTTAAGTTTTATATTCATTATTAAAAGGACCTCATGACATACTAATGTAATTAAAAGGGTAATCTTTGTTTCAGTAAGCCAGTAACTATTTTTAGATCTTCTGGATGTAAAGTTAATTTAGTAAAGAATATTTAATAACCCTTCATGAAAATAGTGGTTTGACAAATTGATAAAAATAAGGCTTTTCCCTTAATTTTAATTACATGCTAGACACTGCTCTTTAAAAGCTTCTCTTCATTCAATACTTGAATAAAAGCATCTAAAATGTTAAGCAAAACCTTTCTAGGTAAATACTCTGTCTTCTAATAATGTTAGGGTCATTCATGCATATATGAGAATGGTCACATGTATGTGTGTACATTTATATGTATGCACACAAACGCAACTTGTCAAAACGAATGATCCGTAACATCCCTGAAAGAGAAATGGTAAACATCCTATTTGTGTTATAGGAATAATGCTCACTTAATTAACCCAACCACCTGTCTAAATATACCAACAATCTGTACTTCACTGTCAAGAAGATTCAGCTGGAATACGACTTCTCTAATTCTGATCAGTTTAAGAACTATTTTTTCCACAATTAAAAGTTCACTATACACACAATACCTGGCATTGTTTTCCTGTGATTAGGTTTTAGTAGCTTAAATCTCCAAACACTAGAATGTCTCACACAACTGGTAATTGGGAACCAGGGACTAATTCACATCTGCTTCTTGCTTATTTCATTAATGGTTCACTTCCAGTTCCTCAAAGAATTGCAGCCTTTCTCCAAAGATAATGTAGGACCCATCTATGTCTGCCTCCTACATAGCTGGCCTGTTCTGGTTTGTCACTCTCCATACAATGCAAATCTGAATGAACTCACATCTGTCACAGATCGACCCAAATCGTGGGCAATCTTTTCCCATCGACCTGGGGTCCCTCCTGGGAACTTAACCATACTTCTTGTCAGTTGGCTAAGGTCCTCTTCTGTCCATTCAGGTGCCTGCAAAACAGTAAAGAATGTAAGATAATTGGGAAAATGCCTGCTAAAACATTTAAGAAGCCTGTAAAAACAAATTATTGGCAATATGTTTTCTGTGAAAAATAACACTAAAGTGAATCCACAATGTAAAGTTTGAGTTGCATATTTAACATTACAGCGCAAAGTTCCAACAGCCTTTTGAGGATTTTCCTATGTATACCAAATAAGAAAACAGAAATACTGCAAAACTACTTTTGAAGTCTATGAAGTTCATTCCTGCTACACAATGCAATGCTGCTCACAGACGTCTTACAAACATGACTACTGCCAGTTATGATGCTTAAAATATAAAGAAAGCAAAAAAATCTTAGAAGCATAATGAAAATCTGAACAAGAAAATATACTGATTTATAGTCAGAAGTGAGACAAAGTTTTTTGTTCATTCTATGTAACAATTGTTAATTTTTAAAATAAAGCAAGAAGTCTGACTTGTTAATAAGTGTTAGTGTTTTATAAAACTTGGGAATAAAATCAGAAACATTTGTATCCATGTAAAGCAACAAACATTTCATTTTGAGAAAGTAAACAACTTCCACAAGCTGACCAACTTATTAAATTGAATAAGTAAAACACTTTAAAGATGACAAAGTTACACAAAAGTTCTAACAGCAACTGTATCTCTATGCATAAGCAGTGGCCCAACCTTAAAGTGAGGAAAGAAAAACAAAATTACTACTGAGGAAGAAACAAAGCACATGTGACCATTATTTTACTTAACTAAAGCTATCCCCATCAGAGGCAGTAACCACTTATAGCCAGAAATTGAGGAAACTTACCTTATTTTCCTTTAATTGGAAAGAAAAAGAAAGAAAGAAAGAAAGAAAGAAAGAAAGAAAGAAAGAAAAAGAAAATGAGAGCGAATGAAAGAGAAGGAAGAGATACATACGGGGGAAGGAAATCTTTGAAACAAATACCTTTTCTAATCACTATTTCCGATAATGAACAGGCATACATCAGGTAGTTTGCATTACAGAACCATCAGCACAGAACAACAGTCAGAGGTGAGTGACCCCAGGGACTATCTCCACAGCTACTGCAAAGCTTCTCCCTGACACTAATCCTGCCTGTCATTCCCCACTGTGCTCTAACCACACTGACATCCGCCTGCCTCACTGCAAGCTTAGCGGGGCCCTTCCTGACTTTTTACTGTCTCTCCCAATCAATGGTTCAAGCGTGCTCTTTTCACCATGTCCAAATGGCAGCTTCACTCATAATCAAAGTGCACTGCCCCTGTTAAAGGGCTTTCCGAAAGGCTCTCCTATTTGCATTCATTTGCAAAGCAAACTACTTTTATTCACTTTGTTCTGCTATCAAGAATGTTCCCTGAAGCAGATAAATTGGCATAAATACAACCTGCCAGTTAAAGAGTCAGTAAATAATAGCCAATAGTAGGGAGAATTTTATCAATCATTCTATTTTGTATCCACTAAGAGCTGAAAGCCTCAAACATATTCATCAGTGCAGCGCCTACAATACATGCATAAATTCATTTATATAAAAAGGTAGTCGACATTGGGCCTGGTTGGAATTTCTTTGATATTTAATGAGTATCGGAACTCTAATTCTCCATATTAGATGATTTATAAATTTACATAGAAGGTTTTCAAAATTTTCTTTTTGCCTTACTTAAAAGTATTAGATACTCTTTAGAAGAACATCAAGGTAATATTTTTATTGTTAAAAAATGAAGCTTTAATAAGTATACCAACTGGTTTCAGAAATGCAAGAGTTAACTTTTAAGTAGAATTTAAATATAATTGTACAGTGCAAAACCACACAAGTATAATTAATTATAACTGCAGAGATATGCACTGATACAGTATTCAAAACAATTATCAGTGCAGTTTCACACTAAATCAAATTGTCTAATTTCTGCATAAATTAACACTTTTAGTACAAACAAAATTGTCTAAAATACCAAAAAAAGTAAATCGCTGTTTTATATAAACCAATTTTAAAAAATAATTTATAATAGATTGATTTTCTAAAGAGCTGCATGTATGAACCCATCTAAAAGTATGGTACTGCTAATTTTCCCAGAAAGATAAATTTTAGACAAAATATTTGGATTAATACACTGAAAAATCATCAGCTGCTATGACAAACTTTCCTTTTAGTTTCACAGTTATTTTGTGGCCATGATTTTTGTTAATATCCTTAAAAAATGGATCATAACTACCATCGTAATCTGAATTCAAAAAGAAGCCTATCAGCAATTCATTATTCTCTCTCCTACAGATGTAAGGCACTTTGGTGAATGTGTAATTCCTCAGCTATAGTTAGTTGTATATTTAGAAGCAACAGAGCCTACTGTGATCCAGCTACTACAGCAGCCATGAGGGTGGCCATGGTGTGAATGTGTTCTCCCTGTTCTAATCTGGAGCCAACTGTAGCTGTGAAAGTCAAATGAATGCATAAGCATACTGCTTTGCCACTTAAAACCATGTGTGTCCAATATTACTCAAACACTGGGCCAAAAATTCATCTCTACAGTAAAGTAATGGAAGATACCACATGGTGTGGGGACAGCTGTTGTGACTATACGAGCATTCCAATTTTACATCAGATAAGCCCTGCTTGGGGAATAAATCTCCATACTGAATACAAAATAAAAAGTAAGGTTTCAAATTATTCAGTATTTTCATTAATGATCTAAAAATGTATCTACTAAAGTAAGAACTGATAAAGAAACTTAAATTGTATTACAAATTTTGGGTTGACTTTTTGTCACAAAACTTGCTATATTCAAAGACATGATATCTTTGACAATGTTAAACAATTTGGGAGTTCTGTGGGGGTGGAGGCTGAAAGAGATGATGGTAAACTGTATTTTTACATAAACTATATTATGCATGTTCCCTTCTCAGCTTTGAACCATAAATTTACTTTACTAATGTAAAGTATTATGCAGTTTATTTGATCCTAAAAAGTTATGGTCAAATTAAAAGAAAAATTTACATAATTATGTATTGTGTTTTCATAGCTTAATGAGAAATATTTTTATTGAAATGACCTATTAGTGATCGTTTATATAATTACAGAAGTCAAATTTTTAGATTCCACTACTTTTAGTTCTTTTTTTGATACTGGGGATTAAACTCACGACCTTTTGTTTGCCAGGTAGGTGCGTATGCCACTGAGCTAAATCCCTAGCCCATACTATTTTTAAATTCTCAAAATCTTACTCAAGAAACTCAGTTAAAATAACAGATCTTTAGTAACATGGATGCTATAATACTAATCTATCTGCTACCTTCTAACTTTGCTCTGTATACACCTTTTGCACTTAGCTTCCAGCTATACAATTTTTATTCCAAATTAAAAATTGAGTAATTAAGTGCCCCAGATAAATATCTATGTAAACAAATGATATGTTAACAATGAAAACAAAAACAAATCACCTCAAATGCCTTCACTTTTAGAGTTGATTGTTGTGACAAAAGCCTGTAATCCCAGCACTCTGGGAAGCTGAGGCAGGATAAATTGAAGCCTCCTCAGGGCAATTTAGGGGCTTAGAGAGACCTTGTATCAAAACAAAAATTAAAAGGGGCTGGGACATAGGCCACAGTGTGAAGGCCCTGGATTCAATGACCAGGGTGTGTGCGCATGTACACACACACATACACATACACATACACCACACAAAGAGCATTCATTTTAAGGAAGAGGAACTTCTTTGAGGCATCTCTTCTTGGCTTGCAGGTGGCCATCCTTTTACTACCCCCTCTCCTATCCCTGTGTGTGTGGGTAGGAGAAACTTTCTAGTCTGTCCTCCTCTTTGTATAAGGATGTCTTTTCCCCTAAATTTTTATTATTTATCAGCACATAATGACTGCATTCCTCATGTGGAGTTGGTACATGTATCTAACACCCATACATCTTAATTTTTGTTTCACCCTCCCATTTCTCTCTCTCTCTCTCTCTTTTTGTATGGGGAATCTAACTCATACCTCACACTTGCAGGTCCTGTGTTGCTAAGCTGTATCTCTAGCCCCACCCCATCTCTTGTTTCCTTTATTGCATGTCATCTCTTTGATGTCATTTTATAAAGGTGCCAATCCTATTAGATTTAAGGGATTATCAACTCTTAAGACTTCATTAACTGCCTTCCAAAGATCATAACACTATTTACTGAGCAGTTGCAACAGCAAACAAAAATACCAAAATGACACCCTGGATTTAGAGGCAGATTTATTTTATGCCAACATGCACCAATCGGGATCATTTCTAAACTATCAGATTCCTGGTGATCTAAAGCTTAGATGAGATAAGCAAGCAGAAAGAAAGCAGCAGAATGGCTTATTAGTTGGGGATTGGTTCTTACAATATGCATCATAATGACTAGCTATGCATCACAGTGACCAGCCGTCTCTAGGAGGCAGAAGCAACTGGAAGTGTAACAGGAACTATCACCTGGGAAACTAAGAAACTGAAGTGTACTGGCTGGTGCGGGTGTGTGTGTGTGTGTGGGGGGGGGTGAGTGTGGGTGTGTGGGAGGTGGCAGTCATTTTCAGTTACACTATCACAATGGGGCTCAGGGCTCCAACATACGAATCTGAGGAGACAGAATTGATACCATGACTGGGAGGAAACACACAAGGCAAAGCTGAAGCAGAAACCTGAGATGTGACCCAATTGGTAACTTACAATTGGTATGCAACAAACAGATGAAAGGGCAGGGGTTGGCACTGGTGCTTCCACAACACCAATTCTAAATTAACTATACATCTGCTGAAATATATCAAGTGGCAAGCCTTATTCCCCTTAGTCAGTACTAGAACGTCTGCTAAATTTAAAGAAAGTAAACTTGATAACCATACAGGGATTACTGAACATAATACAAAGGGCAAACGGGTACGTCTTCCTTTAACCGCAGAACCTACCATCTTGACTAAATTCCTCATGGTTATAGCACCTGTTGTCCTAAAAATCACAAAGTAGTCATGGACTCTCTTATTCAG